AGGGAACGGGAGAAGGAGTGGGGGGTGGAGAGGGAGAAGGAGTGGGGGGAGGTGGAGAGGTGGAGAGGGAGAGGAGAATTGGTAAGAGTGGGAGAGGGGGAGGGTAGGGGAGGGAGGGGGAAGGAGTGGGGGGGGGGGAGAGGGGGAAGGAGTGAGAGAGTGATGAGAGAGAGAAAAGTGAGTAAGTGAGTGAGTGAGAGTGGTCGAGAAAAGGAAGGGGGGGAAGGGGAAAAGGAAAGAGAAAGAGAGAGGGAGGTTGGTAAAACAATAAAATGTGTGTGCATATACACGTATGCTTCTGTGCGCGTCTGTGCTGTCTGCCTGCGTGGAAGGGTGAAGGTGACGCTATTGTGTGAGAAATATCTTGATCTTCCATGTCAGATTTGCTCCTGATTATTCAATTTCTCTTGTTTTGATATTCTTTTCATTCGTATTCTAGTATTTATTTGCGCTGCGTGCCCGGGGCTTTGGTCGAGGAAGTAGAATCTTTTCCTCGTAATTTCGCTGTTTATCCCAGCTCATTCAATTAGTTATGAACATACTTGATAACACTTTTATTGCTTTCCTTGCTTGGTTGTTTGCCGACGCGAAGATTTTGGCCTGTTTTAAAGGCAAAAGATTAAAAAAAATCTCCATGTTTTTTCTCCAAATAGAAAGTTTCGAAAACAGAATTTGTATGTGTCTGTGTGCGAGTAAGAGTAAGGGTTAGAGGGAGTGAATGAGAGTGTGTGTGTGTGTGTGTGTGTGTGTGTGTGTGTGTGTGTGTGTGTGTGTGTGTGTGTGTGTGTGTGTGTGTGTGTGTGTGTGTGTGTGTGTGTGTGTGTGTGTGTGTGTGTGTGTGTGTGTGTGTGTGTGTGTGTGTGTGTGTGTGTGTGTGTGTGTGTGTGTGTGTGTGTATTTACACATGTACATGCGTGTGCATATTAGCGCATGTACAATAGTTTTCTTGCCTAGCTCTCCCTCCCATCGAACAGTGATAAACAGCAACTGTTGCCCCACACGCCCTAGACGAGCCCCCTTGGAAGTAAGGGAGGGTTACCTGGCCAGAGTAAGATTCGCCCTTCTCCCTGTTTTGTGTCTTTTCATTCTCCCGTTTCTCCTCAAGTTCAAATTAGTTTTTTTCCCCGGTGGGCATTGTTGTCGGAGGGCAAGACGCGAAGGTATTGTTTGAGTTTGAGTGTGGCGGTGGTGAAGGGGGGAAGGGGGGGAGGGTACAGGGAAGGGGAGGAAAAGGTTTTTTTTTTTTTTGTTATTGCTGTGTGTGACTTTTTTTTAAGGGGAGGGGGGGACGAATAGCAGATCGCCAGGAACGACTTGGGTACAATTGCCTTGGTGTAGGATATTTGTAGGATAAGCACACTACACACATACAGAGAGAAGAGAGAGAGAGAGAGAGAGAGAGAGAGAGAGAGAGAGAGAGAGAGAGAGAGAGAGAGAGAGAGAGAGGAGAGAGAAGAGAGAGAGAGAGAGAGAAAATGGAGAACGGCAGAGAGAGCGTTGAGATGAGAAAATAGGCCCAGAGAACAGTGCATTGTGCTTAACGTGAGGGTCTGCCGCAGCATGGGAGGGGGGGGGGGAGGGGGGGGACGAGTAGAGTGCCTCGTGTTTTTTTTTCTCTCTCTTTTTTTTTTCCCGAGTGTAGGGTTCGCGTGGAAGCATCTGGAAGGTTCTTGGTAACCACGGTCTGCCTGCTTGACCTTGTCGAGGGCCAGTGTGTACTCTCCTGTTTGCAGAAGGTCGAAAAGTGGACGTTGATATGTTTTATTTATTTATTTATTTTTAGTTTTACCTTTATCGTATTGTTCAGTCGAGACGAGAATACAATGCCAGAAATCTACCACAACTTTTTTTTCTCCCTTTCAGGACTAAATTTGGTTTTCCGGCTAGTTCGTTTATTTATTAATATATTTATTCATTCTTTTAGTTTGTTTGTTTATTTATATATTTGCTTGCGTGTTGTACCGAGGCACAAGTCCAACTTAGTTATTCTTGTGTTATTTTTCATCCTTTGTGTGTTCTTTTATTATTACATTCTTGATGTTTGGAAAAGCTATAAGCGTCCTTATAAAGAGACAATGGATCCTTATAGGAAGCTCTGATTGCTTTTATGCGTCGACAATAGATGGCCATTGGTAAAGAAAACGTATGCAATGTATTTCAGTGGCTGTCGCTCGCTCGTTTTCTATGCTTGATCACGGTTGACATTTTATTCCATTCATGGGGGGGGGGGATATTTATTTCTCTGTGAATATGTTGAATAAACGTCGTGGCAGTAAGAGTCGGGGAAACCAGGTCTCCCCCACCCCGCCCCCCTTTCCCCTCCAGTACCCCTCCCCTTCACCTCTCCCGGGCCCCTCCCCCTCCCCTCTCAACCCATGCACCCCTCCCGCGGTCCTCCCCTTCACCTCTCCCGGGCCCCTCCCCCTCCCCTCTCAACCCTTGCACCCCTCCCTCGGCCCCTCCTTCTCCCCCCCCCTCCTCCCGCACTTAAATACAGCACCTGGCCCCCAATATCAGTTCATTCAGGCAGCTGTTCCCCGGGCGTTCTCATATCCCTTCCTGAAATTCTTGTTTTGCTTGCTTCGGAGTCCAGCTCGCTCTTGATTTCCCTCCGTTGTTTGCTGTTTGCGTTGCCGAGCTCGGTCTGTCTGGCTTTGTTTGGTGGTCTTTTATTAATTTTTACTGAGTTTCTCTCTTCTCTTTTCTTTTTTAATGTATTCTTTACCTTATGCTACATTTTTTTTCGTTACGTCTTTCATATGGTTTCTTTCCCGTCTTCTTCGTCCCCTTCATATCTTTCGTCACGAGCTTTCCTTTTCCTTTTCCTTTCCTTCTTCCTCTCCTTCCCCGGTTCTATTTCCTCCTCAGTATGTGTTTTCTTGCTCCCCTCTTCTCTTCGTCTCCTCCATCACAGGCCTTCTCTCATCTTATTCTTTTCCTTCTTCCCAAATCTTCTGTTCCCTCTTCTTTTTTTTCTTAAAAAGCTTTTTTCCTCTCATCTTCCTTTTCATCTTAACCTCTCCCCTCCTCTCCTCCTTTCCTGCATTTTCCCTTTCCATCTTCCCATCTTCTCTCTTCTTCATCTCTTTCTCAAGCCTCCTTTCCTCTCTTCTTTCCTATTTTCTCTCTTCTTCATCTCTTTCCCAAGCCTCCTCTCCTCTCTTCTTCTCTTCCTGCTCCTTCGTTTGTTGTGACAAGATATGAAAGATGATTTGCGTAAGGCTGCCATATTGTCCCACTCTGATGACTTTCCCGCTGCTGCCCCAACCTCGTATTATACCTTGCATTTTTCTTTCTCTTTTTTCTCATACTTTTTCAAACTTTATATTCTCCCGTATCTCTTTTTTTTATTTGTTTCTTCCCTTCGTTCTATCGTCCCTCCATTTCCTTCCCTCCCCCGAGCACTAACGAGGCACCATTGCCCCCAGGGTGTTTTTCTCTCTCTTTTTTTCTCATACTTTTTTCAATCTTTATATTCTCCTGTCTCTCCCGTATCTCCATTTTTATCTATTTGTTTCTTCCCTTCGTTCTATCGTCCCTCCACTTCCTTCCCTCCCCCGAGCGCTAACGAGGCACCCTTGCCCCCTGGGTGCTTGACCTGGTGGCTGTCGAGGGGTATGTATATGCACCGTGTAGACTCAGCGGAGGTCGTTATAGGATTCCCGTGTGATCGCGAAGGATCGGACCCCCCAAAAGCGCGGGATCAAAGGGGCTACCTTAAGGGATCAAGTATAGGGTCGTTAATAGAGGCGGGGTTTACGAAAGGCTGGAGTGGACTGCGGGTTATCCGTGGCGTTGGAGGGACGACGGTGGGCGAGATTTGGGGTCGTGTGGGGGTGGTGGTGGGTGAGCTGTTTGGGGGTCATTTGCTTATTGTACTCGGTCGTGTGTTATGTTTGGTGGCTGTGTTTTTTGGTTCTTTTTTAATCTCTGTCTGTCTGTCTCTCTCTCTCTCTCTCTCTCTCTCTCTCTCTTCTCTCTCTCTCTCTCTCTCTCTCTCTCTCTCTCTCTCTTCTCTCTCTCTCTCTCTCTCTCCCTCTCTCTCTCTCCCTCTCCCTCTCTCCCTCTCTCTCTCCTCTCTCTCTCTCTCTCTCTCTCTCTCTCTCTCTCTCTCTCTCTCTCTCTCTCTCTCTCTCTCTCTCTCTCTCTCTCTCTCTCTCCCTCTCCTCTCCCTCTCCTCTCCCTCTCCCTCTCCCTCTCCCTCTCCCTCTCCCTCTCCCTTCCTCTCCCTTCTCCCTTCCTCTTCTCTCTTCTCTCTCCCTCCCTCCTCCCTCTCTCCCTCCCTCCTTCTTCTCCCCCTCCCTCTCTCCTCCCTCTCTCCTCTCTCCCTCCCTCCCTCTCTCCCTCTCTTCTCTCCCCCTCTCTCCTTCCCTCCTTCCCCCTCCCTCGCCCATTTATTTCGCGATATATTTGAAATATCGATTGGCTGTGGAATCTGTCTATCAGCACGTGAGCTTGCGGTTGCGTTTAGAACTCGGGCCCCGGGGAGACTTATGGGGGGGTGGGGCATGCCACGGGGGTAATTACTATGATTCAAGATATTTTCTTAAACAAATGGAGTGATGATGACGACATTGTTCCTTCCGCAAAATAAAAGAAAAAAAGGAGTGAATTGATTAAATAGATAAAGAAAAACAGAGGCTTTGTTACATTTAGTCAGCATCATGACGCGGTAATCCATACGGCCAGCGACAGTGCAGTGTTCGGACGCGAGGAAAATTCCCAGCGGACCAATCGGGCACAAGGCATGGGGGAAGGGCTGCCCTCACACTGCCTGGGCGACCACCTGGATGGCAGGTGAAGTCGGGTGTGTGACTAGACCTTGTAGACCTTGTAGTGAGACCGGTACATGAACCGCTGTGCCTGCACCTCGAAGATCACGCCCACAAAGCCTATCCGGAGTTCTTTCCCTGCGCACACGCCCAGCCTCACACCCACCCACGTTCCCTTGTTTCCTCCTGTCAAACGATAGAGCATAATTTCGTAGTCATGACGCACGC